TTCCTTTTTTTTTTTTTTTTTTTGAATAAGTTAAATCAGCAACAGAATAGCAGACAGATAGCAACAACCTGGTGCTAAAAAGGTAACACAAGAGCCGACATTTGGAATAGATAGAAAAGGGTGCTGTGAACTGCAAGATTCCAGAATTACAATCCACTATGCCTCAATCTCAAATTAGTGTTTTCTTTATTATTTATTACTCCCTCAATAAGCTAAATGTGTCATCTAAATTGACACAGAGGGAGTAAATTTTTTATAACAACCTCATTTTCAAATTAGTTGATATTGCAATATAAATCCTATGTATTCATTCCACTCTATTCTGGTCCATTTCCTAGCTTCCCCGAACATTAAAACAAGTTTAGATAGTAAATTTGAAAGCTCAAAGATGCTTAAACTGAAAGTTCAGCGTCAGGAATGTCAACTTAGTATGACATTACAGCTATAAAGTCATGTAATCACATCCCAAACCAATGTTCTAAAAGGTACCAACCATATATTCCTTGGTAGCGACAAACTCAACAGTTCCTCGGCATAGTTCGGGCCTTTCATCAGCATCTCTACGCCTGCCATCTGGACCCAAGTTGCAGTGATAGTCACGTGGAGTTTCATCGGTATGCCCTGCAAAAAGAAGCCAACAAGCATAACTACATTACAGCACAATTTCATTCAAAATGCAGCATTAGGAAATTGAAAATGGTTCTACATTCGATTTATTCACTGAAGCTGATGGCAATAGGAGTTTAATCCATTTTCCTTTTAGGGTCGGTTGTTTTGGAAATATGCAATCTGTGAATAGCATAGACACTGGCCAATTGGTCTTCAACAAGGAGATTGAACGTTTTCTACTATATCACAATCATGCATATCCACTAGGAAGCAGTGGCGGACCCAGGATTTTATACAAGCGGGTTCAATAAAAGATGACGGTGGCTATTCACATCAGTAATATCGGGTGAGACAAGTAGGGTTTGAACACTTTTTTTGTTCTTAAATAATTTAAACAAATATACTTTTATGTTTTATCAAAATTTAAGAAAGAAATAAACAAATTCACTTTGTAGATAGGTTAATTTTTGAAGTAGGTAAAACTGTAAAATAATGTGTATTGATTTCAGGAAAAAAAAATAAAGTGAAATAGAAAACAGACAAAAGTAAGAATAATAAATACAGAAGGGATAATCTGTCTTGTGCACACATAACTCCGGCCCACTAGAGATTACAAAACAAAATGTACAGGAACGCCCACAAGTGGGATTGGAACACAACACCTTCCATACATTTTGAACCCTCTTTACCACCTCAACAGACAGTGCACTTTGTTAAAGCGGGTTCAAATTTATATTTCTATACGTATTTTCGTTGTTTCAAATATTATTTACTAATATATACAATGTAATTTCTCAGCGAAGCGGGTTCAACTGACCCCACTTGACACCATGTGGGTCCGCCCCTGCTAGGAAGGATGATTCAGGAAATACAAGCTATATCATAGAAAATGGCAGAGGTCTTGCTGTCAAAGCAGGACCATATCACTGAAAATAGGACGGGCAATGTTGAAGCCAGCTTGTGCGCACATTGTCTATGTGAATCCCCAACATGAGAGAGAGAGAGAGAGAGAGAGAGAGAGAGAGAGAGAAAGAGAGAGAGAGTCGGAGATTATTTCCTTCTACTCTCGCACATCATAACATTAGTCCACTTATGAAGTTGCTCTATGGCCGGCTTAATGTATAGACTTATAGCCTGTTTGGCCAAGCTTTTTTGGGCCAAAAGTGCTTTTTTGCCCAAAAATTGAGGTGTTTGGCCAAGCTTTTGGAAGGAAAACAAGTGCTTTTGAGGAGAAGCAGAAGCAGTTTTTGAGAAACAGAAAAAAGTAGTTCTCTCCAAAAGCACTTTTGAGAAAAATACACTTAATAGAGTTTTCAAAAGCTTGGCCAAACACTAATTACTGCTCAAAAGTGCTTTTCAAATTAATTAGTCAAACACAAACTGCTTCTCACCAAAAGCAATTTTTTAAAAAGTACTTTTGAGAAAAGCACTTCTCAAAATAAGCTGATTTTAGAAGCTTGGCCAAACAGGCTATTAGTCAACCTATAGGATCGTCTTAATATATATATCAATGTTACTTTCGAACAGCACTTATATCTCAAGTTGGTCCAGAAAAGACTGTTAAAAGATATTTATTTCTTAATTGTTTCTTATGAAATGCAAGGCGTAAGAGTAAGAAGGCTCACATGTTCTCAGATCACCAGTAAAAATGTATATTAGACGCCTGAAAATGTGCTTATGGTTTTCATTAAAATAGTTAGAGCAGAAAATATCTAGAACAATGTAAAGTTGATGTTTCTATGTAGTGTCCTGTGGTTTTTCGCAAAACACCACGTCCTAGCTATGTTGGATTTCAATCTTGAGTCCCTAAATAATATCTAGAGCCGTGCTCTAAACTCCAAACATCACATAACAGTAAGTTAGTGGGAATAAATAAATTTCATTCTTACCACACAAGTTACAGATGAAACGTCTTCCTTGATCAATAAACTTCACGAAAGGATTTATATAGCCTTTGCAACGAGAGCACCGAACAGGACCACTTTCCCCAAAATCAACCACCTATCAAGGAAAGCAACAAGAAGGTAAAAGAACTAACAAATTAATTCATTCTGCCTTCATTAAGCTACAGAATCAATTTACACTATTCAAGTGCTCCTACGTGCTCAGAAAATGAAGTAAGCTTAACAGATATATAACAGGCATAAACCTAGAACTTCTAATGATTAATAGAAACAATTTCCACTCTAGGGATCACAATTCGTCCCTTTTGGCCACCAATAAGAAAAAGGAAAACCACACCTGGCCGCCAAGAGTCACTACAGTCAACTGTGCATCTTAGCATACATCATCACCCACGCAAGTCCAAACCTTCTCAGAATTTCCCACCACACAACAATATGCTATCCAACAATGTAAGAGGTGATTCACATCTTCTTCTGAGTACTCTTCCTCTTCCTCTTCCTCTTCCTCCAATTCTCGGCCGTCAAGATTACCCCCTTGGCAAGTTAGCCAAGTGAAAAAACACACCTTCCTCAACACCCTTGGGATCCATATTGAGATGTGTTGAAAAAAATGACTACTCCCTAATCAGAAGCTTTTCATAATAGCATTTAACAGAAAGTATGATGTTATCCCCAGCCCCCCATCACCATACATCATGTCTATCTGGTACAGTTCTTTGTTTGTGAAGCAATTCAACCAAACTTCGAAATTCTGCAAACTCACAAGTTCCTCCTAAACCTCAAACCGCATTGCATAAAACATTATGAGAGAACTAGGAAAGAAACTGTTGCTAGACGTGTAAAGCTCAAATAAGATAGTGACTTTTACAAACGAGAGAATACATTTTAATTTAGTTACCGAATTTTGTATTTTTTTTCTCTTTGATAACCGAGAAATTCCCGAAGGCCATGGTGCATGGTTCGAATCAGTGGATAATGGGCCTGCCCCTCTACCCTTTGTTAATTTACAGCATGTATATAGTGTAGTATTGTCCCACATTGGTAGAGGAGTAGTATGTCCTTATATAGTATAGCTATAAATAAGGACCTCTTGTGTAGTATTATTCATTCATTCAATATATCAATAACATATTTTCTCCCGTGCCTTCTCACATGGTATCAGAGCAATTGTGAGAGACTTATCGCTGTGCATAAATTCCGGAATCTTCCGGCGATTCCGGGAAAGAGAAATCATTATTTTTTTTTAAGGTTGTTTTCTATCTGCTTCATTTCTGTCAGTGTTGTGCAAAATCCAACA